GAATTTTGTCAGTTTGTCAATTACTGTGACAAACGACTGCTTTTTGAAATGAAAAATGTCTACATGTATTATTTCGTTTTTATCTGTCGGTGTTTCTGTTAGTTTAAACTTTGGTCTTATCGGTTTCCTATAATACTTAACTCTTTGGCACTTTTCACAGTTATTTATTATTAACTGTATGTGCTCTTTGAATTTGGGATAGTACATTTTGTCTGTAAGCCTATTGTAAGTTTCGTTTATTCCGCTATGCATTGACTCATTACTATGGTAAAGTGAGATTTACTTATGTAAATCTTCTTCTTTTTCTATTTCTCCTGCTCTTTTTGTACATTCGACATATTTAAAATTATTATCATGTGAAAACATTGAAATCATTAAAATCTGAATTTTATGATAATCAGATTCAGTGACTTCTGAGAATATGCCGACACATCCTTTTCCTTTAATATACCGACTTAACACCTCTTTTATTATGTACTCTTCCTCCATTGCGTTGATCTCTATCATCTTTCTTCCATGGAGTCTCTGCATTTAAAATTTTGGACTGTACGTTAATATTATATGATTTGAATTTTATGCTTATTCACTATTTCTTCCTTGATTACAAAGTGTTCTAGCAGTTCTTCTTCTGCCGAATGTACTGTATCCGACATTTCTAAATTTAATTCATCGTCGTTCCCATCTGTTATTTTAGGCGAATTTTCAATTCGACTAAGAAAGTCCGCTACTACGTTATCTTTACCCTCTACATACTCTATTTCGTAATTGTACTCCTGGAGTTTTAGAAGCCACCTTTGATGGCGTGGTGCAAATTCTTTCCCTTTATACTTGTTATTTAGATACTTAATCGGGCAGTGATCAGTTACTATCTTAAATTTTGCTCCGTATATGTATGGTCTAAAATAAGTCACTGCATACATGATTGCAAGGAATTCTTTGTCTGTCGTCGCATAATTCTGCTCATGATTATTTAGTGTTCTTGAGATGAAGCATATTGGTTGGCCTTGCTGTGAAAGAACAGCTCCAATAGCGTAATCGCTTGCATCCGTAGTAATTGTAAATTTTTTGTCATATTCAGGAAATTTTAAAATTGGATGTGATGAGACAAAGATTTTTAAATTTTTAAAGCTGGCTATATATTGAGGATCTCTCGGATTTATTGTGTTATCTTTCTTTAAATATTTTATCATTGGGTAAGCTATTCTAGAGTAATCTTTAATAAACTTTCTATAATAGCCTGTGGTCCCTAAAAACCCTTTTAATTCCCTTTCTGTTGTTGGAATGGGTAAATTTTGAATGGCTAAAATTTTTTCTGGGTTGGGCTTAATGCCGTCTTTTGTCAAAACGTGGCCCAAAAATTCGGTTTCTCTTTTTAAAAAACTACACTTATTTGCTTGAATTTTCAGGTTATTTTCCTGAAGCTTTGACAAAATTTTTCCTAGTGAATGTATGTGTTCTTCTAACGACGTAGAAAATATTAATATGTCATCTAGATAGACTACACATATTTTATTAATATGCTCCCTTAGGATGTCGTTCATTAATCTCTGAAAAGTGGCTGGAGCATTTTTAAGCCCAAAAGGCATCCTGACGTATTCATACAGGCCTGCTGGAGTCACAAAAGCTGTTTTCTCTATATCCTTCTCTGCCATTAGGATCTGATGGTAACCTTTAGCTAGATCTATAGACGCCTCGTCCGCATGTTTGGGGGGCAATCTGTAAATTCGGGAATTAATTTGCTGATCCGTTGTTGTTCTAATTTCATGAACAACGGTATTCGTGTTTGTCAGATCATCTCCTTCTTTATAAATTAGCTTTTCGTACTTTTTTAATAGTTTACTTATTTTTATATTTTCTTCTGGGTTTAAATAGTCGAGTTGAATGTTACTAACTTCACTTTCTTCCAACGAATAAACTTGCTCCTGCATAATTTTCGTATGGAATGGAAGCTTGACACCATTTCTCAACGCCATTTCTTTGTTTTCAATGTTTATCGTTTTCATATTTTTAAATATAAAATCATTCCCCAGTATAAGGTCGTATGGGCATGCTGTCTTAACTCTTTCGTTCATCGCCTTTATTTCTCCATTCAGTGTACTGATTATTGTTTTATTTTTTTCTAAAACTGGTAAATTATACTTTTTGAAACTCGCTCTTTTCATTATGCTTATGGTAGAGCCTGGGTCTACTAATGCACACCATTTCTTATTAAATAGAGTGAGTGAAATTAAAATTTTATTTTGATTTTCCGAGGCTAATTGGTAAAAAATTCCTCGTTGTTATTTGTTTCCTCTGTTCTGCTCATAGCGTCAACCTCCATGGGCGTTGGGCCATTTGAGCGTCTTGATTGCCGAGTGCCATTCTGTACAGGTTGCCTTGCAGAATTGCCGTAACCGTTATTACTACGATATTGACTATTTTGACCTGAATTTCCTGAATTAGTTTGTCTATGGAAATTATTTGGGTGATAATTATTTTGCCCTGAAAAGTTTGTATTTCTTTGGGAGTATCGTCCGGAACTATTTTGTGAATAATAATAATTATTATTACGGGGATGTAGTCCTGAATTACTTTGGAAACGATCAATATTTTGCTCACTACCATTTTGTCTCCTATAGTTGTTTGATTATTCGGGTTTCTGTTACTGTTAAAATTTCTAGTATTTTGGGAAAATGAAACAGAATTTCTATATTTTGTTAAAAACAAAGGGTTTAAGTTTCCATCATCCAGCCCTATGAAATTGTGGATTGTATTTGCCATGTCTGTCCATGCCGTTATATTTCGTACCATATAGGCGAATGTTCCTGCTGCTAATTGTTTTATCTTTTGTATAAGCATTCCTGTAAATATTTCTTTTATTATGTTTCCTGACTCACTTAATGCACAAAATTCCGTAATATTATCAATTATTTCCTTTGCTTTTCTACTAAGTTCATTGATACTTGCCACTCTAAGATTGGTGATGTCGTTGGTCAAAGTCATCTGGTCTTTTGTTGGTCTGAAGTGCTGTTTTAATTTAGCTTTACAAGTTGCCCAATCTTGAGGTAGGTTTGCTTGCAAAAAAATTTTTGCTGAACCACCAATTTTTAAGTCATAGATCACTCTAAAAACTATTTCTTCCTGTCCTACATAGTCCCTTCGTACTCTGTCAATAGCCTCAATGAAGGATGGCATTTTTTTACATTTCCTTCGAAAGGAGCTAGATATTTTAAGTCCCTTTCGCATGATTCAAATTATTTTAATAATATTGTATGATATAAATTAATATAAGTTTATAAAGGTATGCTTCGAATCCATAACATTCACTTGCCGTTTTTACTATTGTTAATGCTCTCCACGTACTGCTGCTGTTGTTATTTTTTTTTTTTTTTTGTATTGCCATTTCGCTACTGTTGCTTGCTGCTACTGCTGCTGTTGTTATTGTTGTTGCCCTTACTGTTAATGTTGCTTGCTGCTACTGCTGCTGCTGTTATTGTTGTTTATTATAAAACTCTTCTCTTTTAGTTATTTCAACTGGCGTACGATTTGAAGTAGGAAAGTCTCAGGAATCACACTGGTTTGTTTTTTTTTTTTTGTTATATATATACACATGTATATGTCACTTTTTAAACGATTGTTTTCAGTTCTTTAATTTTTCCAAAAATAAATTGACTTTTTCAAAAAGTTCTACTCTTTGCTGCTGCATTGGAGAATTTGTGTTTAGCTTTCAATGCCGATATTTTAAATAGTTATTAAATTAAAACATTTTTTTCTTGTAGTTTGAAATCACAGCACTTGATTCTGCTTTTCATTTATTATTTTTATTTATTTATTTCCCATCTGGGTCGCGGAACGTCGACTGCGCCAATTATATATTTAGTAGAAACCAATTATACAATTAAAACACACAACTCGTTTGTGTTGTCTCTCAAATCAGACTGCTTCACACCAGATCGGCAACTCGAGCTTGATGCTATGTCCGGCTGTACCGCACATTCCAGCAAGCTCAAAATATGCTGAGTCTTCTGTTTGAGTCACGTATTGGCGAATCATGCGATGTGGTGCAGTGCATGCCGTCATTATACATAATTCGCATGAATGGATTAACGAGATTCCCTCTGTCCCTATCTACTTCCCCCTGCGGGTAGGGGTAGGGGTTCAAGCGTCACCAGTCATTGAGTAAAGGGTAGCTCAACTGGCAGTAGTTTCGGCTACACAGTCTTACCGGAGACTTTATGGTACCACGGGGAGCAGAAAGCTTTTGGACTTCGGTCCAATCTGCTCATTGGGTTATGGCCCCTTTGGGGAGACTCGTGGTGGCTGTGGTTGAAACCTAAATGCAGGAAGAACTGAAAATTCAGCCTAACTGTTTTTTCAGTTCTAAAAAGAAGTTGCAAAAAGCAACTGGGTTCCGTACCCGAAAACGGAAGAGGTTTTAGGTCGGCCTCGAATCTTACCAAGATGGTAGTGTGTGCCCAGACACACTGCCACTGGTAACCAAATTAATACTGGCAAATAGCTCGTATTATTTGGGGCGCTTATCAATGCATTGTATTGATACGTTGTGCTTTGGAGCACCGTGAGGTAAGGCCGTCACCGGCAGGTACTCACGTAAATCAACAACGAAAGTTGGCCCTGGTACCAGCCGGCATCTGTGCATGACAGCGGCGACCCTGGATTACTTAAAAGCACTTCCAGCGCCACGTTTATCAGCGTAGCTTGCACCCAATGGGGACGAAAAACGATTTCGGGCAAATGGCCGCCGCGACTGGCTCGAATAAATTCCAGCCAGAGGCCCACTTTCTGCATTTATTAGTTCATCGAATAACGAATACTGAAATTATATTCAAGATTTGGAATTTGAAATTTTGACACCACCTGAAAATATTTTCCGTTTGATCTGGATTTAAGAGATCCATCTATTTAAATTCTGGAATTACTTTCAGAATTTGTTCCTAACATTATTTGCCATTCAACACTTTTGCTATAACATAAAATGTCTGGTACATTTTTGTTTTTAGATTTATGTATAATTACTGAGCGAATACTAAGGATATTTAGAAAGGAAAGTCTACGTAACGCGATTTATTGTAAAACGTCAATACCAATTAAACCATGATTGACCCCAGTTCAAGTGAGGAGGAAGGCGATGACGATCCCGTGGTGGTTGCACCGAAAGGCCGCGCAGCTGCAACAGTGTCTTCTACTTCAAATTCCAAGCCTAATGTTAATGCCACTGCAAATGCCGACTTGAACTTCTCCGGTTCTAAACATAATGGCGACCATTTTCAAATCTCTGCGCATAAATCATTTGGGGGTACAGCTAGCACCTCTGGCAATGCATCTGAACTTGGCAATGGAGCGGCAAGTGGTAACAGCAAGTTAGAGCATGGGACCCATATGATGACCAGTGGTGATGCCTCAGGAAATTTAGAAGTACCAAACAGTGCCATACCAAGGTAAATTATTTAGCAGAATACTTTAGATGTACATACATAAAAAAATATGAATTTACATACACAAAAAATAATGTTTGTACATAAATATACGTATTAGTATATTTCCATTTTTGGATATATATGTACCTATATGCATATGCGTATCAGTAACAATCAAACTCCTCATACTCACCTTAGGCAATATTTTTTATCAGATGTATTTAGAATGAAAGTTAGTCTTTAGATAACTATAATTCCATCAGTACAATACGTTGGAACTGTAAAATACAGATGGAAAGTGTAAATAATTTGATATATTCGCGCATTCCTTCAGCTTCACGCACCCAATTAAAAAAAGGGCTCACGCATAAATACTTTAGTTTTACCTTAAATAATGGTTAATATTGTACTTTTCAACTGGATTTTATGTATAACAATAAAGTACCTAAAACCTCTACACTAAGCTAACAAAATCATAACGATCTCAGGTAAATGAAAGCTTAAACTTGATTTTGTTGTGATGAATGCTCACCATCAAAGCGAAAATTTCGTAAGGACTGGTTAAGGGTCGAGTGGCTTGAAGAAAAGGAAGGGTGTTAGGTTAGCTTTGCTTACGAGGTCGATGCTATCATTGATCCCACTTAGACATATTAGAACGACGATCTGTTATGGTAGCTAAAACTCCAATATAATAGATCATAAAACCCCCACAAATCGATAAAGTGCTTTGAGTCTATCAAAAATTTGTTGAGACGGCTAATGTCAGTCTCGGCTATGTCTTCTGGTTTGCCGAATGTAAGACTGTCGAGATGTTTCAACCTAGGTCTTGCAAAGGCTAGACAATGGAGTAGAAAGTACCTGGATGATTCACCTCATCTGCTCCACACAACTTTGAAAACTAGCGTGTGACAAAATTTTTAGCCTTACCGCATTGGGAAGTGTCCAGTAAGAGCCCCTACGATTTCAGCAAGATTAACTTGGCTAAGAGCAAGTAGTTCAATGGATCTCATGTGTTTTACTCTAGGCCAAAAGAATCTCGCAATCTCACAGGAATGGGTTATCGACTAGCGCCTGCTACGCGCTCGCGAGATCATTGGTCAAGTGCTAGAACGCAAGACGCCAATGGATATTCAACTCGGTCCTATTCCAATGTCAGCGGGGCAAGAGTGCCCCCACTGTATAGCTCATCGGATTTGCAGTTACCAGCGATTCCACTATGACCATGCACCCTAACGAGTCTGATGATGAAGTAAGTATATGCAATTTTTAGTGAGTACAAACACTTCTTGACAAGCCTTGAGCGCATAGTTAGCGAGCTTAGCGCTAGTATTGTCGCTCTGCTGTCGGAGTCAATGCTCACCTCCCTGAAAGAGATTGCACTCCGTAGTGGTACGTCTACTGCCACCATAATAGCAGCCGCTTCTGCCTGCAAAACACGTCAGTGGTCTGGTAGCCTATAGCTAAGATTGACGGAGAGCTCCTTATAAAAAACTCTTCCTCCAACCTTCCTTCACAGCTTCGAGCCATCTGTGAAAAAGCTCACTGCGCTTCTTCTTCAACGACTTCTTCTAATCTACATATCCCCAGTCGGTTTGTGAACAGCGAAAAGCCTCCACGAGTAGCCTCTGCGACGCAGTGATCAAAGTTTTCAGGAAAGCAGTTGAAGCAGGAGAGAATTTAGGCTTGTCCCAGTTCGGATATTTTCATATACCCTTCCCTGTAGCTAAGAGCGCATTTCGCAGCAATACACCTGCCGGCAATGTCCACGGGAAAGGAAGAGAGCGAATGCTGCTAAATTTAATTGACCTCTAAAGTTTATTTGTATATACATACATATGTATCTTCCAAATGTGATCTGATCCAATTTTTTTATGATACGAAAATTTAGTAGTTTTGCAACAGATTTGGTAGATACTTTGGTACTCAAAGATTTTTTCAAGTTGCAACACTAGTAGTGATACAGGTGTTTATGGTAGTGGTTTTGGTTACAATTTGAATATGTCAAATGCACAAATTTTCAAAATCGCTATGCTTATGCTAAATGTAATATTAAGTATGTTTACAATCGAATCATGGCACCAACTTCCAGCGGTAATTCACAAGAGACGCTCAACCAAAGTGTTGGCTCATCACGTGCAAATTCTCTACCTCGACCGATATCGCCATCACCGTCAGTTGTGAGCGATAAAAATGATGGAGCCGTACATGTAAGTTGACAAATTTCATACTTTATTTTAAATTAAAAAATTAGTTTATTTTAGTTTTTAATTAATGAAGAGTTATACTTGTTTTAAGTCTTTGATGAATATAATAATTTCGGAGTCTACATAGCATGTTTGTGTTTATAACTGAGCTTTTATGAGTACCAGTTTAGGTTGTGGTCATTGTATTTAGTAAACCTACAAGTAACAAAAGAATCTGCTGTCATCGGGGACTGCCGGGGTAAAGCTATTGCATAGCATTTTTTTTATCAACATATGCGATTATAATTATTTATTTACTTCTTTTGCAGTATTTTTATACTCTCGCAACCTGTTGCTACAGAGTATAATAGTTTTGTTCACCTAACGGTTGTTTGTATTACCTAAAACTAATCGCGTTAAATAAAGCGTTATATATACATATACTAGCAAACCTGGTGAACCCCGTTTCGCCACCAGATGGCTTTGTTTTATGTAATATTTCGTTTGGTGATTAAAAGATGAAGAACATTTTTTTTTTGTTTTATATTTGGAAAGGAAAAATTTTATTTCATTTGAAATGAAAAATGAAGTGTTATTTAGTTGAACTTCTCTAAGTAAATGAAAGTGGATCCAAAGTAAAAACTGAATCGAAGCGTTATACGTGTCCGCAAATTATCAGTTTCATTGAAGTGCTCTTTGGAAAACCACATTTTTTGTTTTTTGGTCTGACGTTAACACAAACAAAGCGGATGGTTTCCCAACTCGTGAACACGCAACGTATAACTGCCCATGTGAAAAACAATGATTTTCTAAATTTATCCCGCAAACACTAAGCGATTGGCCATGCGACTTGTTAATTGTCATTGCGAACGCAAGGCGAACTGGAAATTGCAATCGTTTGAAGTCAAACGGAAGATCAGTCGAAATATATACATTTTCACCTGCGTACTTTCCGTTAATAATGGTTGCTTCAATCAAATTCGGCATAAGTCTTTTTACCGAAAATCGAGTACCGTTGCAAAGTCGCGGCGGATTCAAATTACGCAATATCATAATAACTGTACCAACTTTGAGTTGCAAGTTATATGGTGGAAATCCTGGTAACTCCAGAGAGTTCAAAAACTCCGTTGGATAATTTACTACATCATCGGGATTTGTTATGGAATCAACGGAATTGTATGTCACCAAATCGCCAGCAATTTTTGATTGAATGGTGAAACTCAGTGCCTGTGCATCATTATTCTTTGCGGCAAGAATTGCTCGTTGACTTAACCAAGCATAATTCTGATAATTCGCACTAATGGTTTGGAAAACATTTTCAAAAATAGCTAATTGAGAGTCTACAAATCGGCAAAAGTCGTTGGTAAGAGTAATTAATCCAGATGTCGCATCAACTCTGACTTTTCCATTTCCAACAGCTAACAATTGTTTGGAAAATTGTGCAGCAATTCGATCATTTTGAAGTTGAACTCTCATATTAGTGGTCCATAAAGGTGATGCCTTCAGGCAAGCATTCAATTCATCTGCAGCCGTTCCACGGGGAATTACTGGCAACGTCTGCCTGTCAACAATAATTGCAGCAACATCATTAACGGTGGGTGCATTGAATCTTCGCACATGTTTACCTGTTGGGGTACAATCAGCATTTTGACAAATTTGTGCGTATCCGATGGCATTCGTTCCAATGCTGTTTTGAACATATTAACCACAGCATTATTAGCGTGAAAAAATGCTTGCAACTGTTCAATAATTCGTCTCTTGAACTGTTGTGTTCCCTGTATATTGCACCGCTCATTCAGCTGATCGACCATCGACGAAATGAAATATATTTGCAGAAATTTATGCGGTTCATCTGGTGTTGGCACCATTGAACCATGCAAATGATATATTTGTCCTTGTATCTGTAATTGCAAACAATCATTTGTTGAAGAATACGGTGTAACTTATGATCGTGTGATGGTGTTTTTTTTTGTCATGCGAAAGCAGTTATTGTATTCAAGGATGTGTTGAAGAAAATGGCTGGAATCGGGATCACTTCCATCGAACAATGGTTTCAGTGGCTGTGGTGGTGTAAGTAATGGATCCAGTTTGACTTTTCCACTTGCGCAGCACAATCCAGCCGTTTCTCTTTTGAACTTTAACGCATTGCAATATCGGCATATAGTCGTCATTGGTCCAATATCTAAGTTTGCATCATCACTGTAGTTCGCAGTGGGATCAGATTGGAATGCCAAGCGATTGTATGATGCCAATGATCTTCGTGTGCTCACGCGTTGTCTCAATCACACGTGTTGCTGGCTTGCATGCTTGTGCGGCGGCCGATGTTGGCACGTCGTCCTCTAGGCATTTTGGGCTATGGATAGAGTGGTGAATTTAACCTCAAATGCACGCTCCACATAATTTATACAGTTCAACTTACCACCTTAAAGACAAATGCCTGTTGTTGAAATTGAATAAAAATTTGCACAATACACGTGATTGATTTGATGGTTTCCAATTGAAATGTTAGTTCCAATTGTAATGAACGAATAACTTATTTTTCACAATTTCACAGTGAACACAATACCGGTTTGTCACATAAAATTAATTGAGCAGAACAATGAGTAGCTGTCAAACAATGTATCACGCACCGGCGCCATCTACTTAAAATATTGGTTTGTAGTACATGCTATGTATCAGAGATGGCGCTGTAGTGAAAAAAGATTTTCCCGCCTTTCTGTTAAAATATTTCCTGAATTTTCTTTGCTATAAACCTCACGGAGCCCGAGACCTTTCCAACGAATACAAAACCGTGGAAATCGGTTCGTGCGTTCTGGAGTTATAGCGTCAGGAAGGAAAACCCGACTTATTTTTATATAATAGATAAATGATCAGGATTAAGAGACGAGTTGAAATCCGGGTGACTGTCTGTCCGTCCGTCTGTCTGTGCAAGCTGTAACTTGAGTAAAAATTGAGATCCCTTTATGAAACTTCGAAACATGTTTCTTGGTACCGTAAGACGGTTGGTATTGCTGATGGGCGTAATCGGACCACTGCTACGCCCACAAAACGCCATTAATCAAAAACAAATATACAAGACTGTTATTTAAAATTCAAATTAGGGCGGGGCATCTGCAATTTAAAATTTTTTAATAAGCCCCCAAATAGGTTTAATGTTCATATCTCCTAAGCCGCTAAAGCTATAATAACGAAATTCACTGGGAACAAATGCTTTTAGCACCTCTATCGACAGTGAGGAAGTGGCTGAAATCGGGTGACAACTCCGCCCACTCCTCATATATCGTACTGTTAAAAACTACTAAAAGCGTGGTAAAATCAAGCACTAAACACGCCAGAGACATTAAGTTTTATGTCTGGGATGGTATGAGATGACGTTATAGGAACCACGTTCAAAATTAGATAGTGGGCGTGGCACTTTTAGGTGAAAACCCATATCTTGGGATCTGCTTAACCGATTTCAACCAAATTAGGTACCTAACATTTTTCTCATATTTCTATGTTATAGTGCAAAAATGGGCGAAATCGGATAATAACCACGCCTATTTCCCATGTAACACCGTTTTAAAGAAAAGAGAAGAAGATGAAGAAAAAGAGAAAGCAGAAATATTTGAAAACGATGAATCCGACCAATGAACTTAGCTATTTTCTCTTTTATTACGCCGCCTTCATTTTTACCAACCCATATGAATGATATAATTTTACAATAGTTTTAAAACAAATAGAATCACAGCAGACCCGTGGAATAGTCCTACTGGGGAAATCACGTTAAAAAAACGCGCTAAGTACACTACTTCATAGTTATCAAATATCCAACTTTTTAAAGCGTTATATATCCAAAATGATGGCCCTTAGAAAAAATTACTATTGATACATTTTATGTTGAGAATTTAGTGATCTACAATTTTGTTCTTGAATAATTTTGCGAAAAATCTCACGGTTTTGCTGAAAATCGCGTAAAACTAATTTTTTGACCTTTGACCTCGTGCCAGTTTTTTGGAACACACCAGAATGATGAGGACTTTTGAGATTTCTTTTATAATTATGTTTTGAGCAATTTTGCCGAGATTCAGCTTCTTAACCATTTTTGTAACCTTCCTCTTTATTTTAGTCCTAAATTGGCCGGACTGATATATGTGATGCGATGTAGTGAATTATAATACACTTTTTTTTATCAAACTACTTTTTATTTCATTTTTAGGTATATACAAACTAAGCGATCAAAATTATGTTCTTATATGGACAACTTTTTTATTTGACAAATTGTTCAGATCGGTCCACTGTAGCATGTATGTAGCTGCCATTCAAAACGACCTATAAAGTCATCCATAACAGGCGAAAAGCTCGAGATACCACGAGAATCTAGAGCAGGTTAAACTCCTACTCATCCAGAAGTGCTGCCGAATTTAACATTCTTCTTTGTTTTTTCTTTCATTTTGAAACATTTATTTGTTTTCATAACATTTATTCGTAATTATCAAAAATATTGTGTAGTAAGATTTACTTTTACGAATACTAGGAAAAACATGAACGTGAAGAAGAGGATCGTAAGCGGCGTATACAATTATATGTTTTTGTTTCACGTTGTATATCGTATCCATTCAATGCCAAGCAGCCGACTGACATGACCAAGAGGCAGCCTAAAATAGCCAAGCAACAATTGGACACAATTACTCAGCGATTTCAAGTACTTTCATATTCTTACGGTCAAAAATGGTATCATTTCGGAAAATAATCTTATTTTAGGCTTTTCTAAAGGGCGAAACACAAATAATGGCTGATGAAGCCTTTCAAAATGCTGTACAAAGTTATCATGATGTTTTCTTGAAATCAGAGCGAGTACAAAAAATGGTACAATCGGGAGCGTGCTCCCAACATGATTTTCGTGAAGTTTTCCGAAATAACATCGAGAAACGCGTGAGGTAAATTAAATGAAAAGCAAATATATTTTTAAATCACTACTCATCCTCACAATACTCTGACGCCGTATGTGTTTATAACTTACGTTTTTAATTATAAAGATATTGTTATTTATGGTAGCATTATGCACCTGCCTTAGTCGAGTAGTTAAAGTGATCATCTAGACTCGATCTATCGCGACATTTTTTAAAAACAATTATTTTTGATTTCAATGAACTTAGTCTCCAAGAGAATTCTTAATTGTGTTAAGTTATTTGTAGATGGTCCGTTTGGTTGAAAATAGTTTCATAGATAAAATAAAAATTTAATTAAAACCAACAACTTTTCACACCTTTTGAAGGTCTTTACCTGAAATCGATGGTCTAAGCAAGGAAACGGTTCTTACTTCGTGGATGGCCAAATTCGATATAATACTTAAAGGCACTGGTGAAGAAGACTCCAAACGACCTTCGAGAATGCAGCAATCACTTAATAGTGAATTGATTTTGTCTAAGGAACAGTTGTACGATATGTTTCAACAGATTTTGAGTGTTAAGAAATTTGAACACCAAATTCTATTCAACGCGTTAATGGTAAGTAAGCGTGGTGGTAATAATGCAACTTTTTTATTCAAAATCAAACGATGTTACTTCATCAAAAATTCGAGATTGTTATATCCATTCATCAAAGTAGAAAGTAGTATAGAAATAAGAGACATATGTAGTAATTTATTTCGGTATGTCTCACCATCATTACCATATAATTTTTAGTATACATAGATACGAGCGCATACGTAGTAGTACATAAGAGGGTGGTCCAATAATTATTAGCGAAAAATTTGGAGAAATGGCGATTTATTTCTCAACATAGTCTGCTTTTTTCCCGGTAGACTTGATCCAGCGATTCGCCAACTTCTTTAACATGTCTCTAATCTATGGTTTCTGGAGGTATTCAAATTAGGTGGAGACCTCACCTTGTGAATCCCGGAAAACGGCGATCATTCTCTTTCCTGGCCAATGCGATAGTTTTCGCCCTCTTCGTAGGAGGTTCGCCTATGAAGTCTCAGGTATGTACCAGCAGGTCTATGTTTCGTTGATGATCACAAATAAGGTTTAAACTCCTTCGGATTGCGTTTAATACAGCATCACACACGGCTGTGAAGTAGTCTCACGGGTGTGAATGATTATAAATTTCTCTTGTGATAAAGGCGCTATCAGTGACATTATTGGACCGCCCTCTTTTATTTATAATAAATTCTTAACTAGCTTTAAGCACAAGTGAATATATAGCTAAAGCAATATAAAAATTTTAATTATACTTTCGCAACTTGTTGCTACAGAGTATCTCTTATACCACTGAAGCTATAATAACAAACTTCACTGGGAACAAATGTTGTTAGCATCTCTATCGACGGTGTGAAAATGAGTGAAATCGGGTGACAACCCCGCCCACTCACCATATACGGTATAAGATCCCATATCTTGGGATCTGTTTAACCGATTTCAACCAAATTCGGTACATAATATTCTTCTCATATTTCTATGTTATATAATAGTACGAAAATGGGCGAAATCGGATTACAACCACGCCTATTTCCCATGTAACATAATTTTAAATTTCATCTGATTTTTTCACTTTCCAGTATGCAAATCAAGCAACAATGATTATATCGGCGTCAAACTTTGCGTGAATAATACGTTTAAAGTATGCCACTTTGTGACCAAAAATTATCTAAATCGAACCAAAACAATATAATCGACTTTTTACCGAAAATATCGGTCAACATAGAACAAGGCCACAAAGAAATCTAAAACGAGTATACCATTTGACTTTGCGAGAGTATAAAATGTTCGCCCTTCCTTACTTGTTTTTACATTGCTTTCATTATACTTGTATGTTACACCAGAGAACTTAAAACAAAAAAAAGACGCTTGTCGCGAAAAGACGCTTGTAGGCAAACGCATGCTCGGGGAGATGTGTTAGGCGTTTGCTTTTATGAATGAAACGACTTAGCTTATTGCTTGTGCGCCAGCGTTCATGAATGAAAATGTTGTTGGTGTGTGATTTACTACAAATTTAGGATTTGTCAATTTGGCTGCCATATTGATTTCTGGTGCTGATGCTATTTGAGACAATTGTTGTTTTTGTACAACAATGTTTGTATTTTTCTTATTGGCTGACGTACTTACATTTGTACGCTTAAATGTATGTAGATTTGTGTATGCATTACTTATTTTTCGCGGTCATATGCATATTTGTACATACATACTTACATATAGAGCAGTGCGCTCACATGTATTTATTGATAATTGATAATATATTATTATATTATATAATATAACATATTGATGTACATACATAAATTATTAATTCTGTAAAAATTGAAATAAGAAAATTATGAAAATAGTAAAATATCAGTTTTTGCATAATCTTTCACATTTTATCAATGTAGCATTTGTGCAAAAAAATAATAATTTATCAATTTTCATCATAAAATCGTTTATGGCAAAAAATAATCATGCATATGTGAAGTGCATTTGTATTTCTTGTTTCTCATTCATTTCATTTCATTTTTCTCTTTATATTGGTAGATACGTATTTTGTCAGAGAACGTTGTTAAAAATTCTCATTTCTGTTAAATAACAGCAAAACTATACAGAAAGTGGTGAACTCCTTGATCTCAAATTTTCAACCAACCAATCGAGCATCATACAAAATTCAATTTGCACCTTCTCATTGTTTTAAGTTCTCTGGTTACACATGGTATGTTTAAATGGCTTGGTTTTTATTCAGATAGCGAAATTTAAAAAATTAGACTTATAGATGAACTTTCAAACAACCGACACAAGTCTCCTCTACCAGAATCTGGGATGGAGAAAAAAATTAATATTCATTTGCTTATGAACGAATTAAAAACATTTTTTTTCAGCTTGATTCAGCCGATGAGCAAGCAGCTGCTATCCGTCGTGAGCTAGACGGTCGAATGCAACGAGTTAGCGAAATGGAAAAGAACCGAAAACTAATGCCAAAGTTTGTTCTTAAAGAGATGGAGTCTCTTTATATTGAAGAGTTAAAATCGTCCATAAACCTTCTGATGGCGAATTTGGAATCCTTACCAGTATCTAAAGGAAATATGGATAGCAAATATGGATTACAAAAACTCAAACGATACAATCATAGGTACATATTTCTGTAAGTATGTGTAATTTTTGAATGTTATTAAATGCATAATTTTTTCTATTGCAGCACTCCATCCTTTCTGTAAGTATAAGCCATGTAAAATATTTTTAGTGCATATATATACATACATACATACATGTATATATATTTTTTTAAGTATTAGGGGAAACTAATATATATGATAATCAAAGTCAATACTGAACTATTACCGAAATAGCTTATAGAAAATTCAATGTTTTGAGAGGCCTCTTTAAATTAATCTAGGTTTTCTACTAAGGACAGGACTTTTTATCGACAATTTTCACTTATGATATTCTTTTAAATTAAATATATGTCAAAGAATAACACATGATTTTGTTTGTCAAAGAATAACACATGATTTTGTTTGAAACGCCATAACTAACATTATTTTGTACCAGATTACGGCATTTTCACGAAATATGTATTTACTTATCTGGTGAATTTCAAAATCGCTATAAAGAACAATCAGATATATTCAACGCAGTCGGAATCTTAACAATTAAATTATGAAATTAATAATGATGTAACTAAAAAAAAGACGGTAGCAAAGTATCCTAACTAAGAATGTGCTCGTCCAGAAAACAGCAATATGATTTTGGTATAATTTTATTTTTTTCTGGATGTGTATTTAAGTAGGAAGATGATATTGCGATCACATGGCTCACTTTCGAAATTGGAAGGTGACGCAGATGAGGGCATAACGCAACTAACTAAATTGGATGTTGTGCTTACATTTCAATTGGAAGTTATCGTCATGGAAGTTAAGGGTCTCAAATCTTTGGCGCCTAATCGAATTGTGTATTGCACTATGGAAGTAGAAAACGGTGAAAAACTACAAACCGATCAGGCGGAGGCTTCAAAACCAATGTGAGTATAAAGCACCAGTGTATATACAATAATAGTTCTGAACCACCAAAAATCATTTAGAAGTGATATCATACTGTAAAGTGTATATTCAATACTTAGGTGGGATACGCAAGGTGACTTCACAACGACACACCCATTGCCAGTAGTTAAAGTAAAACTATATACAGAAAACCCTGGTATGTTGGCATTAGAAGACAAAGAACTGGGCAAAGTTACAATAAAACCAACACCACTTTCGTCGAAGGTATAATATAAGATTCCATACATCGGAGTTAATCTAAAATTCGTCAATATATTTTAGTCTCCTGAATGGCATCGAATGGTAGTGCCTAAAAATCTTCCAGATCAAGACCTCCGAATTAAGATTGCTTGTCGGTTGGACAAACCTCTAAATATGAAGCACTGTGGGTAAGTATACAGCAATACGTATACATGTATATTCGTTTAAATAAATGAGAGGTTTAGGAAATTAGACACTAAAGAAGCAAGTTAAGTAGTTGGTAGTCGTTTTCTGATTTCATCCTTTTAACTTATTTGCAGGTACCTTCATGCAATTGGTAAATCAGTTTGGAAGAAGTGGAAGAAACGGTATTTCGTGTTAGTTCAGGTGTCCCAGTACACATTCGCAATGTGTAGCTACAAAGAGAAGAAGTCTGAGCCATCGGAAATGATGCAATTGGATGGATACACAGTTGATTACATAGAAGCGGCGAGCGGTAGGTGAATACCTTAGAGCCGTAATAGCAAACATCCTTTTCTTTCTTTTGCATTGCAGCCAATTTAATGTTTGGCATCGATTTAAATGGAGGGCGATATTTTTTCAATGCAGTTCGAGAAGGTGATAGTATTGCATTTGCCTGCGATGACGAAAATGAATGTAGTCTCTGGGTCATGGCTATGTATAGGGCTACGGGGCAATCACACAAACCCACACCTCCAGTAACCCAGGATAAAAATTCGGCGATATCAAAAATACAAGGCGGTAATATATAAATTTGTACAATAAAACTTATGATAGTTGCTATAATATTATTATGAGGGAGATAACCCTCTAGAAATATATTATAATGTTTACTATTCCACATCAAATAGGAACCTGGAACAACGCTAAATTATAAACCTAATTTTTGTTTCAAAGTGCAGATGCCGACAAAGCTCGAAAGCATGGAATGGAAGATTATATAAGTGCAGATCCTTGCTTATTCGACCACGCTGCTCTCTTCAAAGTACTACAAAATCTTACGCTCGAGTATCGCCTCAACGATCCTTTTGCGTCATTGGTACGTTAAATAAGTTTAAAAAAGATAATTGTATAAATAGATTTATCTTCAACAAATTATTTCTGGCAAACAGGGTTGGTTCAGTCCTGGTCAGGTCTTCGTGCTCGACGAATATTGTGCGCGATATGGAGTGCGTGGTTGCTACAGGCATCTGTGTTATTTATCAGATTTGTTAGATAGGGCAGAAAAGCAGTACATGATTGACCCCACGTTGATACATTACTCGTTTGCGTTTTGCGCTAGCCACGTGCACGGAAATAGGTACAAACGAATTTATACTTATAAATAGTAATTCTGTAGAAACATGATGGTCTTATGTATTGATAGACCCGATGGCGTTGGTAGCATAACGCACGAGGAAAAGGAAAAGTTCGCTGAAATCAAAGAGCGCCTTCGGATATTACTTGAGTATCAAATAACAAATTTTCGCTTTTGTTTTCCATTCGGTCGTCCGGAAGGTGCTTTAAAAGCTACCCTGTCTCTCTTAGAGCGTGTACTTATGAAGGACATTGTTACACCCGTACCACCGGAAGAAGTGCGTATGATGATCAAGAAGAGTTTAGAAACAGCAGCCCTAGTTAATTATACACGGCTATCTTCGGAAGCAAGAATTGAAGGTGCGTAAACAATATACTCTTAAAACTGCATGCTTCATTTCAAATATATTCAGATTTCGATTTCTTAGATATTTACTTAATAAACTTAATTCAGAAAGTTGAATTATGTCATACTCGGTATAGAAGCTATGTTAATATAATATTTATAGCAATTTGGCATTAAACTAAAGCATGCTCAAGAAAGTATTCCCACTTAATGTAAATAAGACATTTTATAAGGTTGAGTTTAGTCAGTCGAAAAATCTAAAGCCACTCACTGCAAGCGGTATGCCTCGGAAGGGTTTTGACTGATTAATATTGTGGCGAACACGAATGCCAAAATAGAACAAAATCGACGACAAATTGACAGAAACAACCAGACACTGTTGTTCGAGTGGCGATGTTTTGGTAACGATCTACTATGTATGTATGTATATAATTACAATAATATAATATTAAGGGCTGCCGGACTGACATTAGACACAGTTAGAGTTAGAGTGCTACCGAATAAGGAGTAAATGAGTTATAAATACCTCTCCTAAAACATCCACGCAGAAACTGCTTGGAAGGAATGCGTTAGGTTCTGATTAGTCTTCTTCAGCTGCATCCAGGTGACCATATTGAGGCTGTGTAATTGATAACCGACCGGCTCCCCTTCCGTCTCTGGAAGACCAGTCGGAGTTTCCTGCAATATAGGTTCCAGATCGTTTTCCTAAGTTTTTTTCCTATAGAATATCCTAGACGGATGAGCTACTTCTTTGTAGAGAGTTACCGATCGTTCGATTTCGCTAAATTTGGCCTCTTTCCTGTATCCTCATATGACTTTTGCCACTTCACTGTCGTTTGAGGCAAATCCTCTAGCACACTCTGGGAAGCCAGCCGAAATGGAGGCTACACCAGCCCCTTTCGTAGCCTTGGTGCCTGACGGTTCCGGCACTTTGGGTGCTAGACTCCTAGAGATAGGTCTTCACTTCCCGATGCTGCCTTTTCCTCGTTAATTTTGTTTAAAAAGTTCATGGTAACTGGTGCTCCACTCTCAACAGGTAAGGCTAGGGTAGACGTACGCCCTTATGGGGCAGTGCGATCAGAACCGACCAGCGTAAAGAGGGAATATTCTCAACTAACTCTTACCTCACCAGCTAATGATGACGTGGGGGAACGTATTCTGAGGCCTGTTACAAAATTCTCTCTAAAAGACAGTAATTTTCCACCAACTTACAGATGTAAGAATATTAAACCCAACCTTAAATAAGTAAGGAAGGATTAAGTTCGGGTGTAACCGAACATTTTTTACTCTCGCAAGGTATGTGATATGTTTTAATTAAAAGTAGGAAGTATTGCATTCATTATTTACAATCACAGGCTAGAAGCTGCATAGTTATTAGAACGAGAATCTTACTTAATTTCACTAAGATTTCTTACATATTGACCGATAGAAGTCAACCAGAAGTTCAAAAATATTTATATTAGGTATATGGGCGCTAACAATACCTCCTGTTGACCCAATTTTACCTAGTTTTGGCGCAAGGGCATGCTGTCATCACAAAAATATTCTCCCCGAACTTTAGTACTTACATATTGACCGATATGTTCGGTAAAATATCAACTAAATGCACTGGGGTCCAGATATTAACGTCTGGGTCCTTGAAAAGTTATAGCCGGATTTTGACAATTTACGGGCATAAGATTAAGTATCTTAAGGGTACCACTTGTGCAAAGTTTTATCACGATATATTCATTTCCTAGCTGACCCGGCGAACTTCGTACCGCCTAACAGTCAATTAATGTCGTGTTACCTTTTAGCTGAACTAATTTAGGCTTTGATGAACGTAATACAATGATACAAAATAAATATGAACATGGATAGATATATAAAAGTATTTTATTATGATCAACAATACATACAGAAAGAGAATACAAATAAAAATTAAGTACTTCAAACACGTGTCAGAAAAAAAAATTAATTAAAGTATGTTGTGCAGCATGTGATGCCCTCGGATTAACTCTGTTCATTCAAGCACCTCGTGGTAAACGACATTCTTTGTTGTGGCCAAAATCACTGACATGAATGGAGGTCTTTGCATCTCCGCCAGGGGCATCCAGAAAAAATAAACCATCATTTCCATCATCAATTGCCTTACTTGGATGTAGCGTTCCAAGTGTAAAAACGTAGCATTTATGAGTATAGCAACGTTCTTGCGAACGGATCGCTTTGACGAATCGCAAATAAACTGGTCACTGTTGTCGCTGGAGGTGTTGTGGCACGTTGAGCAGCATTCGACGTTGTGAAATAAACTCTCTGACCGTTCTCTAGATGCACCCGCCAAATGTACAACAGTGGGATGACGTTCGAGAATAGGGAATGAGAATATACGCCAAATTGCTTCATTGCAGTTCACATATCTACCGACTTGATAGCGCGTAATTTCATCGTTGGTATTGAATGTTTGGATTCCAAAAACCGCCATGTCGCTGCCTTTCGTGACATATTTGCAAATGTATTTAATTGACTTGACCGAATTGCAATACTCTACATTACAATGTGCCTTGAATGTTTTAGAAAGAAGTCGCAAATGTGGAACAACCCAACTGTTGTCGACCACAAAATCGTTTCCTTTCACTTTAGTTGTGATAGTTCTACCATTATCATCGGGCGATCGACGCCTATACAGTGGATAACCATCATTGCCGTCATTTTTCGTGAATACCGTTTGGAGCACTTGACCATGCACGGTGATTGGTGGTTGATGGTGCCACACGGCCCATGAATCATATTCTTGATTACAACATCATGTAGGTCTGGGTCGGTTTCAGGATCAGGAATCTCCGCACATATGATGTCATCTATTTGATCTGGCCGAATTCTTTCGACTAACCAAATTAGAATGTGTGCATCCGGCAAGCCTCGTTTTTGCAAACAAATTTAAAGAGTACCTGAACTTTCGAGACAGAGACAATAGTTTAGATAATAGACTACTACTTTGGATAGTGCACTTTTTAACCTTGGTAATACATCTTTAAAAAATCATAGACAACATAAAAAGACATTTTCGTTTTCGTTAACCTATAAAATAAATTTTAGAAATGGTTTTCGGAAATACAATAGTTTAGATCATAGATTACTACTTTGGATAGTGCACTTTTTAACCTTAGTAAGTATTAATCATAGAAAAATCACAGACAACATAAAAAGACATTTACTTTTTCGTTAACGTATAAAATAAATCTTAGAAATTTTTTCGAGTATATAGTCTTTAATTTACACAAAATAAAGTTATGAACGCACGCGTAAACGTTAATCATTTGTCATTATTTCTGAACGCATGTCAACCATTACTTATCGTATTTGACATGATGGACAAAAAATGTTTGACAGGTACAAAACAAAGTAACATTAGGGGAAAATGATTCATCTTTTAGAATTATGTTTTCGTCGAGTTTTCATTATTTTTAAGATTTATTCTCATCCAACGAACCAAAAACCACGAAAATTGGTCTAGCCGATCTCGAGTTATAAGTGTTGTAACAAACCCGACTTTGTTTTATATAATATATATAGATATTCATTGGTGTTTAATTTGTATACTGGAAGTGATAAAGGGAATTTAAAGTTGTGTTATATGGGAAGTAAGCGTGTTTGTCCGATTTCATTTCACAGTGAATGACTGGGTAATCTCACATACCAAATTTGGCTAAAATTGGTTGGGTTCCTGAGATATAAGAATTCACCTAAAGGTGGACGTGAAATTTAATGATTGTGGCTCATTCGGGTATCACACCGAAATATAACATACTTATATAACATATTATTATGATTCCACACAATTGTCGGTAGTGTAATCTTAATGCCCTGACTATGTGTCTATTTTTATATCGTTGAATTAATTCTCTTATTTTTACATGTTTAAAGAGGATCTCCGTGGTGAAATCATGGTACCGGCAGCGAAGAAACTCGAAGACCTCATACATCTGGCTGAACTTTGTGTTGATTTGCTACAACAAAATGAAGAACACTATGCAGAGGTATGTTTGCAAAAACACAGCAAAAACATGTTATGATTTATTCTTATGTTTGTATATTATACACTTTTTAGCGAAATATGCTTATATTTGTATACCTACAAAACGTAATGCGTATTTCAATTAAACTTATAATTAAAAAATGACATACATAATATTATTTACTATATGTGCTATACTCACAAATGTAATCAATATGGAGGAATGAACGCGTTTATAAACTTGCATACCTACTAAATATGTATAAATATGTGTATAAATAAATGCAAATCCTGTATGTGTGTCTCTATGTTTTGAACGTAAATAGTCATGCTGCAAAACTAACTTTTTAAAAAATGTCGTGGCTTATGATACCCAATCATATTTCTATTGGATTTTATTTATATTGACACTCTACTGAACCAGACACATATGTATAAGTATTTCAAAGCTTACTAAACTAAAACTGGATACCTTAGATACACTTGTATTATTTTGAGCAGACCACAGAATGTATATATATATATGTAGATGACCATGATTTTGTGAGGTATGAAATTTCTTCTAAAAACACGCTTACTGCAGCATCTCTAGAATCAAAGTTGATGTTTCTGAATTTAAAAATGCTCTTATTGAGGTCTGGTAGCATAACTTCGTTAGCTTACCACATTCAATATGAATCTTTTACTTTACAGATATCGAGTATGTGCAGTGCTTATAGCTGATTTTACAATATCAGGTATATTATTGAAAGAATCTTTCCCTGATAATAGGTACGCTTAAATCGAAACTGATAAAATCGGTACATACATTAGCCTCACATTGTGTACTTGTGCCTAAAATGGATAAAATCGTATCATGATTTTCGTTATTCTAGCAATCGGCTCGGATCTTTCTTTAACTTTTCGTCTGACTTTATTTACTTTAATGAAATTAAAAGGATTTCTTTCTTTAATATAAATCCGAAATGAACAAGCAAAATGTAGTTATGGAACTGAGTGAAACCACGACCTACAATATATAAGTATAAAATACAGAAGTTGATAAGATACCAAATTTGATTGGAAACTATTTGGATTCTTCACAAAATAAATGTTGCATCCTTGCGCAATATTTTGTCACATAAAGTTTTGCCAGCACCTAAAAGAATATCCCAGACTTTCAAGCTTGCAAATTGCGACAAATGTTCGGTTACACCCGAATCTCCCCCTACAGCAATTTTTGCAAACCGTTATGACACCTTTTTCTGGATATAAGATAGAAGTGCTGGGAAAAGAATATTGGTTTGAGGAATATAATATGACGTCTCTACTGCTGCTTTGTTAGCAGTATTTTCCATTACAAGGGTGAGGATCACAACTTATGCAAATATTTATTGGAATAGTTTTTAATATACATATAGACTTCATAGGTTGTTTATCACACCAGAAACGACTTAGTATACGGTCACATATCGAGTAGTATACACTTACATTTGTATGTATATAAGTCGTGTCGCTATATATACATATATATTGTACTATTGGCTGTTGTGTGAAATGAAAGTTATATTTAGTATATAATACCAACTCTATATTAAGTTGTTTTGTAAATGCTTTGATTGGTTCGGGTTTAACAGACAATTTGAGGCTTTGCCTTACACAATTGTTTGTCCTAAAATTATTTTTTAATTACAACGCATTGGTTCTGGTTGTTTATAATTGGTTGGTTATAATTTGTCTTCGATTCGCCAAGCGTTGAAGAGTATCGAATCGAACAAATCACAACAGTTGCTTAAACAGACTGGCAGCACTTGCTGGACAGCCTTGTAGAGCTGCAAAATTATCGATAGTCGGACCACTCGATAGTTCCAATAGTTGAAAAAATACTATCGATAGTTTTTTCTCTTGAAATCTACTTATTTTTCCTTCTAACGCATCCAACACCTAATTAAAGTGTAAAAAGTGGTTAAATTTAATAAGATAGTTTTAGGTGTTACCAAGTTATCCAAAATTAATAATTCACTTTTGGTATTACCAGACTATATTAGTATGTAGATATGTTAAGTGAAATTTTGCAATTTTATGAAAATGTTTGGTAATCTAGTTAAGGCATAAGCCATCGATAGTCAAAGTAAACTATCGATAGTGAGACGAAAATAAAACTATCGATAGTCCCATCGACTGTTTTGCAGCTCTACAAGCTTGCGCTAACATGCCCTCTGAACAATGTGCTATTCTGCTGCGTACCTAGAGAAATACTTCTTTCCGCCATAAATTTTAGTAGCTTCTCCAATACCATTCAATTCCCTTAACATTCAATTAATAGTTCGGCCAAACAAAAACAGAATGGTATGTATGATACCAAAGCCAAAACACATTCTCTGATAATGATGATACCAGTTTGAGTAGCAAACTTATTATTAATATTTAGCTAAAGGCAATAAAAAACTCTGTGTATTACCATTTTTGAGAGTAATTTGTTATTTGAGCAGTTCACAACAGCACAGGTCTAAAACATTAAAAAATGTTTGGAGAATTGAAGAAAGCGGTAAGAACACTTTAATGGCAAACCCCCATACCCTTTTGAATAGAATTCACCTCCCTAATTTAGTTGACAGGCGGTGGTTTAGTTTCGAAAATTTTGGATATATAGGCGAAATGTTTTTCAACTTAGTATCGTTTTAGTAAGGCTAGCCTCTCTCTAGTTGTGGAAGTTCTAATAGGCTATTGCCAGGTCGGGGAGGTCCACGCTGTAAGGTTGAGAATCTACCTGTATGAAAAGAGACCAGGTGGAAACATTTCAACACTTCTTTCTTGATTGTCCTCTCTTTGCGAGATCAACGCTTAAATACTTAGGAGCTTACACTTTCAGATGTCCCACCGAGCTTGTGGGAATATAAATTAGACTCCTAAGCTAATTCGTACTGACCACAAGGCGCTTTGCCGAATCATAACATCGGATACGGGAGTTATATTTTTAATGCTTCACAGAGGACTTCATATAGTAGTCCAAGTGCGATCCAGCCATGGAATCTAACCAAACTTAACCTCGCTTTAGCTCGTCACCCAGCGATTCTCCAACTTCTTTAATCTGATACGGGAGTTATATTTTTAATGCTTCACAAAGGACTTCATATAGTAGTCCAAGTGCGATCCAGCCATGGAATCTAACCTAACCTAACCTCGCTTTAGCTCACAGCGATTCTCCAACTTCTTTAATTTGCAGAGCCCTCTGACCGTTTTGGCTTCCAGTATTTAGTCGATATAGAACACATCTTGAAAAAATACCACCCTATTTCCGGATTAAGATAGGATAGTCTTCGCCTGGTCTCTGATGTATACCAGTAAATCCATGTTTCATGACACCGAGTCTTATTCGGCTGAAATTTTCACAGTAATCGTCTACAAGAATATACTAAGGGTACAAGGTTAGGTTATCTTCTTGCCGAAATAATAGGAGTACTAACTGGACGGTGCCCTATTGGCACCCCTGCTAAAGATTTTGGAGGACGCAAATTGTCCAAGTTGCATGGTGAAATGTAAGGTGGTAACATTTAGAAATTTTCTCCTCCACTCAGCTTCCAATAGACTAAGGTTGAAGTATCTCTTTAGTCATACATTCTACGAACCAGGCGAATTGGCTGGAACTGCTATTAGCCGTCTCAACAAGTTAGTGGCGCAAGGCGCTTTGTCGATATGCGACGGTCTTTTCGATCCATACTTAGGGAGTTCTGGACATCATAACGGACCGGCGTCCAAGTTGAACTTAAAGTCCAAGAGAAATTATTTGTTGCTCAAGGCGATTTGTTGAAATTCAACGGTCTTTTTTATCCATACTTAGGGAGTTCTGGGCATCACAATAATAAATATGCGTTATTACCTTACTTAATCTAACGAGCTGCTTTACTCAGACACATATTATTCAGTTTTTATTGTGGTTTCGAAGATGTATTTCGCAATATTACTCATTGTATATTTACCCATATTTACCTAGTGCTTTAGGACTAAATTAAAAGTATAATCAACGGAGTGGTAATAAGGCACCTTTGTCTTCTTTAATTCGAATGCCAATCACAAAGATTTGTATGTTAACATATTCATTAGATATATTACTCATATATTGTATAGAATGTACATAAAACATATACATGCGTATGCACATTTAAATGTATGTACCTTATAGCTTCGAAAGCATGAGAAAAAGAATAAGGAAAAAAAGGAAGGTCAAGGCACAAAAGAGGAAACAGCCGAAGCTGCTACATTGGGCGCTGCGGGGCAAGGTATAAATGGGCTAGGAGCAACAGCCGCCGCCGGTATCGGCAGTAATGATGGTGATGCTGGAAAATCGGCCCCAGAAGCGGGAGCTTCAGGAGCAGATGGAGCAACAGCGTTTCGCTACTGCATGCCAACACATGCAGTATATACCTCACCAGTACCAACGGCATGTACCTGATTATAAAATCAACTAATGTTTTCGTTTTAATATGCATCCAATCACATATCAAGAAATTTGATTAAACCACATCAATGCTTACCTACAAGTAGTTTCGATTTATAAAATTGCATAAATACATATGTACATATGTTGAACTTGCATTGGTCACTAAGAAGTCCGTACATAATTTTAAACTAGTTTGCTTAAATCCATATAGATCTAGTTTGGTATTTTATATTTATTAATTAAAAGTACCTTAGTATGTCTTATTTCAAGCCAGTATTACAATGATCGCTTTAGAACTTTTGTTTTGGTTTTTGCTTAAGTACATAAATTAACAAATTTATCATTGCGATTGATAGAACGAGGACCGAATACACACATAGGTAAACAGTATATTTTTTCTGATACAATTCATAGTGCGAAAGATTTGGAGTCCAAAAATTTAAATATTGTCAATTAATCATCATTGCTCTCAAATATGTACATACTTAATCCTGCCATAAGTTCTGTTACAAGTTTAAGCTGTTTACCTTAGATACATTTTTTAATAAAGCAAATTTTAATTAATATTACATACATATATTAAAAGAGCGATGGCCATTGATCAATAGCAGCACGCACAGTTTCCTTTGGTATTGGCGATGCTGCTCGAACCAACGATTTTTTAAGACACTTAAAATTTGTATGAGGTACTCGACAGGTCATGTTCTCCAACTCTGACTACAAACTGTAGTCCAATGGATTCAAATATGGCCTTCCAGATGGCCAACCATCTGAAACTATGAAATCAGGTATATTGCTATTATGCCATTGCTAGGTGGCGTTATGTGCTGGAGCAGAATCCTGTTGGTGATCCAATGAAGTCCATCGCATAAAGCATTGCTTAACTTTTTTGCTATGCCTTTTAAAACATCCTGATGGTACACTTTTCCCCCAGTTCTTCATAGAAGCGAACACGTGTAACGCCTTTACAGGAGACACCCCTCCAAACCATTACAGCAGCTGGATGGTGACTATCTTAAACCCTTGGAATAAAATGTTTTGTGTGTTTGCAAGTTTTTGCGTAGATTTTGTCATTTTTCTTTCAGCAGTGAAAATGTTTTCTTCTGTAAAAAGGATACTTTCACTGCGTGTCACTGAAGAAGCCGCTTGCATCTGTTGAGCCAAATTTGCTTCAAGCACGTTATCAAAATATGATTACTTCACCGACAGTATGCTTTTATGTGAAGATCACTTCGAATTGATCTGGTCAATATATCCATTACATAATTTTCTGTGTTCTTAGGAGATTTCTGCGAAAGCGTTCGCCAACAGTTTTTATGCTAAATTGATTCCAACTACTTCTATCTCTGTCATAAACTGTAGATGTTAGGAGAAAAGCGATCAACAGTGCGGTAAACAAAGATTCTCAAAATGTTAAGATTTTTGAGAAGCTCATGCATTGTAAACTTTGTGACAGAATTTATCGCAAGACTATGTACATATGTTGCGTTGAAATTCTTAGACTATACAACTTCAAGGGAGAATTAATGGACAGTTGTTGTTGCTGTTGTAAGTTGTAAGTCCTTGGCGGATAAAAAAAGCCGGGTCTGTCCCAGTTACATAGACCTGACTGTCGTGGGAACGGATTAGTTGACGGTCGTATATGTTTTCTGGGATTGCATGATAAATATTTTACGCCCCTTATGCAAAGCTTTGACATGTAAATGTAATTTTAATAAATTGACAGATGACACAACTACGTTGTAAATGTTTGACTATACTAAAATATAATATAACAGACCTCCTAATTGTATATCAACATCGTACTTCATTTTTTTTTTACAATCATTACCTGTCTTCAATTCGCCAATCGTTTGAGAGAAGCGAATCGAACAAACTATACTAGATGTGCTAACAAACGGACACCACTTGTGGTGCAACCTTGCACTAGCATGTCCTCTGACGCATGTGCAATTGTACAACGATTCTTTCCTGATGGAGAAATTCTTTTTTACGCATCAAAAAACGTTTTAGTAACCCGTTAGCTTTAATTTCTGTAAAATATTATGATTGATTTTAAGTCTTAAATTTTTTAAATCAAAGAAAACAAAGAAATTGGTAAACTTGATAGCATTGAAGATAGCGATTATGCCACTTGAATGGCGTATCCGCTTACCCTCTTGTACGAATTCCACTCGATAACTTTGTTGTTGCTTTAACATGTAATTTTTTTTTTGACAAGAGAACAGCGAGTAAAGAAATGGCGAATCGAAGACAGCTATTGTTTACTTTATTAAAACCTTAAGACTCCAAAGCATGTTGTTGCTTTGACATGCAAAAATTATAAAATAAGAGACTACGACATTTTATGCACGATAAATGCTCGGGTCGTGACATCATGAACCAAAGAATGCGAATGACTCTTTTTAAATTGCTATGCAAGTTTGGCAGATGTACAATTTCCTCGTGTTATTCGTTCGTTTAACGTAGCGTATCGCAATCTTTGAAATATTCTGGGGTCAGATTCTTCATAAAATAACAATGTATGTAAAACCAAACAAAAGTACCTTCCACATTTTTTATTTGCCTTGAGCTTACAGAGTATCTCTACATATTGGGTTGGCAACTAGGTAATTGCGGATTTCACTCATGGATGGATGGGAAAAACGCATCGCAAGCTCACAAAAAGTTATGGACTGCTTATGGCGACGAAGCCATAAAAGAACGGCAGTGTCAAAATTGGTTTGCCAAATTTCGTTCTGGTGATTTTTCACTCAAAGATGAAAAACGCTCTGGTCGTCCAGTTGAGGTTGATGACGACCTAATCAAAGCAATAATCGATTCGGATCGTCACAGTACAACACGTAAGATTGCAGAGACGCTTCAGGTATCACATACATGCATTGAAAATCACTTAAAACAACTTGGCTATGTTTAAAAACTCGATACATGGGTTCCTCACGAACTGAAAGAAACGCATTTAACGCAACGCATTAACAGCTGCGATTTGCTAAAGAAACGTAATGAAAATTATCCATTTTTAAAACGAATGATAACCGGCGATGAAAAATGGGTTGTTTACAACAATATCGGGCGGAAAAATCGTGGAGCAGGCCAGGTGAACCAGCTCAAACAACATCAAAAGCTGGCATTCATTAAAAGAAGGTTTTGTTATCAGTTTGGTGGGATTATAAAGGAATTGTATACTTGTAACTCTTACCACCCAACTTAACGATCAATTCTGTTGTCTACATTGAACAACTAACGAAATAAAATAATGCACTTGAAGAAAAGCGGCCCGAATTGATAAACCGAAAAGGTGTTGTATTCCATCATGACAATGCAAGGCCACACCATTCTTTGGTCCCTCGGCAAAAATTATTGGAGCATGGTTAGGATGTTTTGCCACATCCACCATATAGTCCTGACCTTGCACCATCGGATTATTTTTTGTTTTGAGCTTTACAAAACTCCCTGAATGGTAAAAATTTCAATAATGATGATGATGTCAAATCGTACCTGATTCAGTTTTTTGCTAATAAAAACCAGAAGTTTTATGAACATGGGATTATGATGCTGCCTGCAAGATGGCAAAAGGTCATTGATCAAAATGGGCAATACATTACAGAATAAAGTTATTTAGTTCCATGAAAAAATTGTCTTTGATTTTCTTTTTAAATTCCGCAATTATTTAGTTGCCAACCCAATATAATGGTTGTTTGATTTGAAAACAATATACTTGCATACATTAGACTGTAAGTTGGTTGGCTTACCAACTAAAGTGGCTACAAGTTTTAACTGATAAGACCTTAAGTTCCAGCGGCCTGGAAAAATTGTCCTCACAATATAATTATAATTAAACAGTATTCGGCGGCGCTATTAACAGCGTTCGGTATAAATAGCTAATATCTATGTTTATGTATTTCTGTGTTAACACTATGCCAATCTGTAATCTTGTTCTGTAACTTACTGTGACAAATGGATTTTACATTAATTTGAATTTGCATTTTTTCCGCTGTTTTAATTTTTATTTACAATATTAAAATTAAAAATAGATAAAACATAAATCGTTTGAATGCATAAGTTTGTCGACCAGTGTTCTAGAGTATTGAAGATGATGTCTCTGTGCGAGCTCAAGCTCAAAATGGTAGAACACGAAGTGCGCAAACGCGAAAAAATGTTAATTCTAAAATAATTTTTTAATTCTTAATTAACTGCTTGGGATTAAAATCCGGCATTTGGTATTAAAAATTAAAAGTAATTTTTAAAATTCAAAAAATAGTTTAGCTCAAACTATTTTTAATGCACTATTGACAACTCTGGTAATATCCACAAGGAAAAGCGGTTAAATTACTGTAAAAAAAATAACCAAAATGCTTCTGGAATCTTAGAATAGCATTTTCATTTTTCGTTGTAAAAATTTAATAGTACAATAGTTTACAAAGTTAATAATAATTATAGTAAAATCGAATAGAATGTGTATTATATAAGACTTTTACATAATTGTAGCTTTTAGAAGACAGTATGAGATTTTAAGGTATGCATAATTGTAGGTGCGTATTGCAATTTTAACGGAGTGTAACTGAGTTGACGTGCTTGATTTTTGTCATATTTAACTGTGACTGATTGACTTGGTCGCTCTCTCCCAATATAGTTTCATCTTATTTCAAATTTTAAAATAATTAAAAAAAATTTGGACGTTTAGATTGATATTAATTAATTGGAAATTTTAAGGGATACGGGACCGTCTGTGAGTAACAGCAGCTTATATTTATATACCATACACATGCATATACCTACAAACGAAAATTCTACTCTGTATATTTGACAGATTTCATTTATAATCAATTTACATTTAATCATATCTTGATTGCAATTACCTACATACATATGTATCTATTTTCACGAAAATAAGTACATACACATAGTATTACTATGCAGCATCCATATGCCTTTTATTGTTTTGACCTGTACGCTAATATTTTTTTCTGCACGAGCGATAATTATGTTTTACAAAGTGT